AATCTTCTGGAAAGCAGAAAAAAAAGAACCAAAGGATACAAGAGGAGAGAAAAAAAGGATCAAACTAGGAGGTCCAACAACCCACTTACAGGAGTAAACTGAAAGGATAAACTGAAAAAAGTGAATTGAAGAAATGATTACAGAAATAATAAAATTTCCTAGAATTGAAGGTCATGAATTCCAGACTTAAAAGGTTCATGAAGTACCAGAATAATAAGTGAAAAATACACGTACAAAGACAAAGGCAAATCATCATGAAATGTACGGATACAAGGAAAAGAAACAACAATGTCAGAGAGATACGATGGTCACATCCAAAGGATAGGGAATCTGAATATCATTACACTTTTTAATGCAACACTAGAAACCAGAATTGAAGATATGATTTTAAAATTCTGAGGAAAAATTATTTCCAACCTAACTTTAGTATAAACTGTCAACCACTGCAAGGGTAGAATTTTCAAATGTACATGGTCTTAAAAAATTTACTTTTCTCACAACTTATGTTACAAAAGTATACTTAATTAAATTTAAAGTGGAACCATGAAAGAAGAAGATAAAAGATCCAGAAAGTAAAAAACTAGCAAAGTAGAGAGGCAAAAACATTCTCAGGGTGATAATGAGAAGTTCCAGGAGAAGAGTTAGTTGCACAGCAAGGCCTCAGAAAGGGAGGGAGATTACAGGGCTCTAAGAAAATGTCCCCAAGAAAAACAAGAAACAGAGAAAATGCCTGATGAGTTTGTCTATAATGGGAGTTTTACAGAATTGCAGAAGAGTAGGATTTTGAACTACTGACAGGTATGAAGGTAACCCACCAAGTGAAAAAAAAATAAGACAATTATTAATTCTAAGAAAAAAGTTGTACAGGAAAGGAAATTTCATAGTAGTATATGTCAGCGATAAAGAAAAAGTAAGTTGTCATAATAAAGTAAATATTGAATATTAACCTAACCAAAAATCATGAAATAACTACTGTATTTTGCCATATACAATGTGCTCCCATGTTAAATGTGCACCCTCATTTTTGGCCCAAACCATCAGGAAAACAGCTTTCATTTTAATTTTTTAATTTAAATTTTATTTATTTTTATTTAGAAACAAAACCAATTATCGTATTCCAGGGTATTATTTTACATACAGATATCGTTATTGCTTTCTAGAGTTACACTTTTAATGTGTAAGCATAAATAAAAGAATTAAAAACATTTATATATATACAGAATTAGTATTATCCATGCATAATGCATATCCTTATTTTTCCCTCAAAAATTTGGGCAAAAATGTGCGCATTACACGTGGCAAAATACGATGTATGTGGAGCAAAAAGGAGAGAGGTGGAAGGGAAAGTGTATGTGTGTGTGTTAATGAGGGTGGCATAATAGTCAAATATCCTCATCCTTCATGGACCTCATCTTTTTTCAAGACAAAAATAAAGTATAAAATTAAAAAATCAAGAAATGAGTCAAATCATTATGCAGAAATATGGTGGTAAACACCAGAAGAATCAGCTAATGAGAGGAAAGAGTTGCCTCTAAGAAGTAGCATGGAGATGTAGGGAGGTATACGGCAGGAAACTCCAATATCTTGTTATAAAACTTGAGGTACCATTTGTTTCTTAAACCATGTGCATGCATTACTTTGAGAAAAGTGAAAATTAAAAATAAAAAACCTCAATCTGATGCAAACATGGCAAATTCTGCTCAGTGGAGTGGTGGGTATTCTGGGCATTTCATGATACTCTTATGTTTAAAATAATTCCTTTTTTTTAAGTTCCCTTTGAGTTCTAAAAATTCCATTAATTTCTTATCCAATATAATATTAGTTGCCCCTATTATTTGGAAGAAGAGTATAAAAAAGGTAAAATGCAGTGTTCTTTATGCTAATTAAAAAAAAAAACCCTGAGGTTTTGGCCCTGGCCCTTGTGGCTCAGTTGGTTGGAGCATTGTCCCATAACCAAGGGGTTGGTGGTTTTATTCCAAGTCAGGGCACGTACCTAGGCTGTGAGTTTGATCCCTAGACCAGGTATATATGACCTGTGGTCTAGATGCTTATGATTCCCAGTCCAGGAGTACACAGGAAGCAACTGATCGATACTTCTCTCTTGCCCTTCCTCCCTTTCCAAAAGCAGTAAAAAAAAAAAAAAGTCCTTGGGAGAGAATAAAAAATAAAAATAAAAATGAATAAATAAACCCTGAGGTTTCTATAGTTAAAATAAATATTAAACTCAAATTATTTTTCTCAAAGGAAAAAATCTTTAATATTTATTTTCAAATACTTAAATTACCTTAAAATACCTTGGAAGTTTTATTTAATATATAAAAAGGAGAATCCCAAGACATAATAAATATAACAAATGGAGGATAAAAACAAGCTTCAGAATAATACATTTGAATCTATTTATGTAAAACAAAACCAAAGGAAAAAAGGCCAAACCACTTTATACATGTATATAGGTATAAAAACATACAAAAATGCATACGAAAAAATGTGGAAGTTTAAATGACAAACTGTCGGAAAGGTTATCTCAGGAAAGGCAAATGGGATTGGGGACAGAAAGAGTATATATTCATTTGTTTTTGACAGGTAATTAGTATGAATAGTAAGAATTTCAAATGGCAAAAGAGATACACGGGGAAGACAAGCTGCGCCCATATCAGCCTTGGTTCCCTTCTCTAAAGATGGCCTATTATTACCGGTCTTTTTTGTTACCTTTTTCAGTGTTATTCCAAAAATACAGAAAAACAGGTTTATACACAAAACTTACTTTTAAAAATATGTTATTGGACTTCTGGCCAATATGGAGGCATAGGTATACACACTTTGCCTCCAAGAAGGACAACAAGAAATTTAAAACAAAAAATAACCAGAACTTCCAGAAAATTGAACTGTATGGAAGTCCAACAACCAAGGAGTTAAAGAAGAAACATTCATTCAAACCAACAGGAGGGGCAGAGATGGGACAGGAGAAGACCCATGGTGAGGGGGCAGCTGGAGGACCAGGTGGTCCCACATTTGCTGCAGATAAACTGGGAAGAGCAACTGGAGAGTGAAACAGACCATGTAACCCAGGGTTCAGGCGTGGGGCAATAAAGCTTCAAAACCTCTGACTGAAAAAACCTGTGTTGGTTGTGGAAGCAGGAGAAACTACCCTCATAGGAGAGTTCATTGGAGGGACCGATGGAGTCCTAGAACATACACAAACCCAGCCACGTGGAAACATTCTAGAAGGGCCCAATTTGCTTGTGGGTAGTGGGGGAAGTGACTGAAAGCTGGCAGAGAGTCAAGTAAGCAACATCAACATTGTTCCCTCTCTGACCCCTCCCCCATATAAACATCACAACAAAGTGAAGTAAGTTGTCCCACCCTGGCAAATACCTAAGGCTCCACCCCTTACAACGTAATAAGGCGTGCTGAGACAAAGAAATATGGCCCAAATGAAAGAATAGATCAAACTCCAAAAACAGAACTAAGTGATAAAGAGATAGCCAACCTATCAGATGCACAGTTCAAAACACTGGTAGTCCAGATGCTCACAGAAATGGTTGAGTATGGCCGCAAAATAGAGGAAGAAGTGAAGACTATGAAAAGTGAAATAAAGAAAAATATACAGGGAACCAACAGTGAAGGGAAGGAAACCAAGACTCAAATCAATGATTTAGAGCAGAAGGAAGAAACATTCAACGAGAAAAAAAATGAAGAAACAAGCATTTTAAAAAAGGAGGAGAGGCTTAGGAACCTCCAGGACAACTTGAAACATTCCAACATTGGAATCATAGGGGTGTCAAAAGGAGAAGAGAAAGAGCAAGAAATGGAAAACTTATTTGAAAAAATAATGAAGGAGAACTTCCCCAATTGGCAAAGGAAATAAACTTCCAGGAAGTCCAGGAAGCTCAGAGAGTTCCAAAGAAGTTGAACCCAAGGAAACACACACCAAGGCACATCATCATTACATTAGCCAAGATTAAAGATAAGGAGAGAATCTTAAAAGCAGCAAAAGAAAAGGAGACAATTACCTTCAAAGGAGTTCTCATAAGACTATCAGCTGATTTCTCAAAAGAAACCTTGCAGGCAAGAAGGGGCTGGAAAGAAGTATTTAAAATCATGAAAGGCAAGGACCTACATCCAAGATTACTCTATCCAGCAAAGCTATCATTTAGAATGGAAGGGCAGACAAAGCGCTTCTCATATAAGGTCAAGTTAAAAGGATTCATCATCACCGACCCTTATTATATGAAATGTTAAAGGGACTTATCTAAGAAAAAGAAGATAAAAAACTATGAACAGTAAAATGACAACAAACTCACAACCATCAACAACTGAACCTAAAACACAAACTAAAACAAATTAAGCAAACAACTAGAACAGGAACAGACTCACAGAAATGGAGATCACATGGAAGGTTATCAGCAGGGAGGGGGCAGGGGAAGAATGGGGGAAAAGTTACAGGGAATAAGAAGCATAATTGGTAGATACAAAGTAGACAGGAGGCATGTAAGAACAGTATGGGAGATGGAGAAGTCAAAGAACTTATATTACGACCCATGACATGAGCTAAGGTGGGGGAATGTTGGTGGGAGGTGTGGTACAAAGTGGAGGGGAATAAAGGGGGAAAAATCGGACAATTCTAATAGCATAATCAATAAAATATATTAAAAATTAAATTAAATCTTAAATAAATAAATAAACAAACAAAAGTATATTATCAGTCCGTGATGGCAAAAACATTTGCCTAGCCCAAGAGACAGAAAGGAAACTGCAAAGAAAGCACTTATGGCTATAAACAATTTTTCTTTAATCCTTATCTGGGTCCTCAGGCCTTTCTTTGATTTGGACCCAATTTTTCATTTGTGGTTGCTTGTTTTAGGTAATAAAACTGTTCCTTTAAAATAATGGAGACTATACAAAATGTTATCACACCTGTTGTACTGCTCTAATCCTTACTTTCCCTCTTAAAATAGACCTTGCCTTAATACGGTAGAAGTTGTTTACCACAGAGTTACCTCCAGTCTGCCTTGCTGGATTTTATACACCACTTGTGGATTCTCCTGTAGAATGTTGCCATAGAGCTCACGAAAATGGGCTATGTTGGGCTTTACAATATTCAATACTTTTGTTTTATCCTCTCCGACCACCATCCGAAAGTCACCTGGTTGAAACGAACAAAAAACAAAATTTTCATTGATAATCCATACACTGACCTATGGACTACAGCTCCACTTTGATCCTGCACTAGTTCAAGATGGCAGCATCCCGCATTCAGAATATTTCCTTTTCCTCCTTAAAACCATGAACACAACCCCAAAGAATGCAGGCATTTGTTTGGGGAGGAAAAAGCCTCTCAAATCATAATGCCCTTTTATGACAGTTAAAATATAGTTACCTAAGTACAAAAGGTAATCATCATTGACAAGCTAATTTGTTTTTGTTTTTCCAATACAGACGCTTCTGTATTTACAAACTTTCATCTTGTGAACAGAACGTTGCCTGTGACCCAGCAAGGAAGTCACCTTCAACGTGTCCTTATTATTGCTTACTCAGCATGGACCTGTTTGCTCTGTTTGCCGGAGGGCTTTTGAGGTGATTTATGAATATAAACACCTTATTATATTTGATAAAGGCAAGAGAAGCAAGTGTTAAAAGTCCTAGTACCTTGTTTACATTTAAGATGAACTTGAAAGCAGATACAATTTTTAAAATTTTAAGTGAAGAAAAATGAGAAACAGAACATTTGCCTGTGGAATGGATTAAGCTGCAAAATATATCATCCTGAAGGATAAAGAGCACCTTTTGAAACAAATGTAAAGTGCCCTGTGCTGCCTATGCCATGGACAACTATCAGCAAGAAATAGAGGGGAAAAGGTGATAAAATGGGAAAACTGGAGCGAATGCCTATTAGGATAATGTTAATTCAAGGCTGGGCACATGTGAGGATCTCCCACCCAGGTGAAGCTTGGAGAAAGCAATGTGGCTGAAACCTTTGCTGGACAGGTAGAAGTTGTATAGGTAGGTGATGAGGTAGCAAGTCAATCAGATACCCCAGCTGCTGAGGAACCCCCTGGGACGACATGACAATTTGATTTACCATCCAAACTAGTTCACTTTTGAGGATGAAGGGAGCACTATAAATAATTCCACAGGCACAACTACAAACTGGGCAAACCAGGACAAATGATTACCCGGGCCAATGTCTTTTGGGGGGTGGAGAGGATGGGGGGCAGGGAGGAGCCATCAAAATCATTACATGCCACAATACATTTTCCTAGAGCAAGCTGTTGGTTGTCTCAGAAAAAAAAAAGAAGAAGATATACAAAGATATTCAATTACACACACACACACACACACACACACACACACACACACTGCAGTAAGGAATAAAATATCCCTGGTTTTTAGGACCAGCTTATGCTATACTTTGGTGGAAAGTAGCTGGGGACTGAAAGCTCAGGAAAGCATATTTAGCAAGGTTGGGGCCTCTGGAACCAAACCTTCCTGATGTGAGGTCTGACTCTTCAGCGCAATGAGGGAAGTAAGTTCTTTCATAACAAGCTGCCCAAATATGGATGACCTTGTTTTTTCACTGTTATTTTTTAAAGGGAGAGAGACTTAAATATTTAAAACCTGAGATGACTGCTGTTGTCATCATAAATTGCTAAAACCCATCTCTGGAGAGCATGTCTAAAGAAATAAACCCAAGCAGAGGTTAAGAGGTAAAGTTTATTGAGCATCTGGTAAGCGTCACGCACTGTTCCAAGTGCTTTGCTGTATTACCTCATTTAACCCACATATCCATCCTGTCAGGTAGATATTATTCTAACCCCATTTAGTATCAAGGCAACAAAGACACAGAGCTGAAGTAAACTGCCTAATATACTGCATACATACAACTATATTCACTGAAACACTGCTAATTGAAATACTGAAAGCAACCCAAATGACCAACAACAGGGGAATGGATAAGCTATGATGGTACACCCATACCCAACCACGGAACAGTGTACAAACATTAAAAATTAATCAGGCCTGTCTGGGTAGCTCAGGTGGTTAGAGGATTGACCCAATATGCCAAGATTGAGAGTTCCTCCCCAGTCAGGGCACATAAAAGAATCAGTCAATGAATGCAAAAATAAGTGGAACAACAAATTGATGTTTCTCTTTCAAATCAATTTAAAAAAATTATAGTAACCACACAGAACAAGAGGAAAATGGTCATATAAGAAAACAGGATACAAGCCCTGGGTGGGTGGCTCAGGTGGTTGGAGCATCATCCCATACTGCAAAGGTTGCAGGTTTGATCCCCAGTGTGGGCGGGGTGGAGGGGGCACATATGGTGGTGGGAGCAGGGGGTAGCGGGGCAGCTGATCGATGTCTCTCAAATCGATGTTTCTTTATTTCTCTCCCTTCTTCTCTCTCTAGAATCAATAAAAAACAAACAAACATATCCTGCAGTGAGGATTTTAAAGAAAGAAAACAGGATACAAAAGTACAAGAAAACAACTTGGTAAAAAAACAAGAACAGGAAAAACAAGACAAAGGAACTACATAAAAATGGTTATGTTTGCTCTACTAAGATATGTTTATTGTGGGCTTTTGTGTGGGCTTTATATTTCCTTTCTTGTTCAGTATGATTATTCCCAACTGTACAGGTGAGGAGAGACTGAGGCACAAGATCCAGCTGCCTTTCAGTATCAGCGTAGTGACATTTGAGGTGACTAGTCTTACTCTGTGATTTTCCTCCACTGCCCTCACTTCTGTAATGCTGACATATCACTTCCAGCATTTTAAAATAAATTCACAGGATGCTGAGATGTGATGACCTGGCAACTGTGACTGGAAAGGAAGCTAGATTTCGATCGTGTGAATCCTTATGCTTAGAGTCTAAAATGGGTTCTGCTGATCTGTGAGGGGATGAAACATTAGCAAACTCTGAGTCTAACATGGCTGGCTCTGACGTGAAAAACCAGCCTGGATCACGGGTGAGTCCTCAACATTTGTGTCATTTCTTCTTTTTCTGTACATTCAACTGACAAAAAATTCTTATGCTTTAGATAGCAACTTTCTGAGAGGGACTGCATTATACCAAAAGGTGAACACAAACTCATCCAAATCCTCCCTGAAGAACAATCACATGCCATGATTAAAGGGCTTGGAAAATACTAAGGACCCTCTGAGAATGAGGACTGGGGCTTCCTCGTCTCTGTCTCCCCAGCTCCGTGGTGTACTGCCTGGCATACGGAAGGCATGTCCCTAAATATCTGCTGAATTGAATTTCTCCAACTGCTGTGCAGCAGAACCAGTTCAGCCACAGGGAACAGCGAGCAGATGGGCTTATTACCCATTTCTTCAGAACAAAATAAATGAAATCATGGGCACAGCATGAACCAGTGTCTGATCATAAGAATCAATTTTTCTTACTGTCAGAGATGTTTACAACAAAACACAGAAATTGAGAAAACTGCTGACTTTTATTTTCTGCCTCTACTGATGGGTTTAACTCTTGACTGCTCAAGCCAATTTAATAAAATAGGTAACCAAAAAGATAATTTCTCTTTGACTCTGGAATGAGACAAACTCAGAGGCTTGTAAACCACGTGCAGTTGGCTTGACTGCTCTGTGCTTCTGGCATGCCATCAGTGGGCAGGGACCTTCTTATGAATGTAGGCATGTGAGAGGCTGTGCAGTACAGTGGAAGGGGCCTAGCTTTCGAGTCTGGAAATGTCCCAGGGTGAGTGGAGATTAACTTTTGAGTTAGTTTCCTTGTCTATAAAATGGCTGTAACAATCATACTAACCTGACAAGGTTGCTTTTAGATTTAAATGAGCTAATGTATTTGAGAATGCTTTGTAAATAGTAACGCAGATATTGTTATAATATACACACATACATAAACACACACTTATACAATGGGCAAAGGATGGGGGTAGGGAAGCCAAGTCGTTGAAAATAATGACTGGCTAACTTTTTCCCCTGTTAAACTAACTGCAATACGGCTGTCATTTCAGTTCAATAAATATTTGGGTGGCTAGTAAGTACAATGAGCTTTGCTAGACATTGGAGATATGAAGATATACAACCTACCCAGGGCAGCAAGTGCTATAAAAACAAATCTTCGGTGCAGGTTCCAGCAGTAGGGTATTTCTTAGGTGGTAGTGGTAAAGAAAAGGAGCCCACACTGGATGTTAATAGGGCAAAACAATATTCATTTTTAACAGCTTTTTTGAGATATAATTTATATACCACATAATTCACCCATGGGAAGTATACAATTAAACGTTTTTTAGTATATTAACAGAGTTGTGTAGCCATCTTATTTTAGAAAGTTTTGGCCTCCCTGAAAGAAATTCTGTGTCCATTAGTAGCTACACCCCATCTCCCTCTACCCTCTCACCGCCAGCCCTAGGCAAAGAAAGCCTGTTTCCTGTCTTTACAGATTTGCTGATTCTGGGCACTTTATTTTTAATTTTTTAAAATTTCATTATTTTATTGTTGTTCAATTATAGTTGTCTGCATTTCCCCCCCACCACTCCAACCACCCCAGCCAAACCCACCTCCCTCCCTTGCTTCCACCCTCCCCCTTGGTATTGTCCATGTGTCCTTTATAGCAGTTGATGCAGACACCGGCCCACAGTGTCCGAGTCATTATGGATGAAATGAGACATTCACATGGACTACTGAGTCCGGTGGAGGAAAAGGGACAGCATGGCTTTTCTCTCAAGGGGAGCAAAAGCCTTGGCCCTTGCTGTGACCAGCCTTTATTGGGTTTCTCAGCACATTACCTGATGGTCCTCATTTACTATGCACAGGTTCACTTTAAGTGGTTACCTTTTACAGAAAACAAAGGAGCCAATGCTGCTAATCACATCACAGAAGAGGGGTATTTGCAAATGAAAAGGCAAAAGTGGCTGAACTGGTTACACTCATCCTTGGAAGATTTAGCATGGATTTTAGGAAGTTACTTTGCAGTAAATGTTCTCAATTCAGGGTGAGAGAGTTTTTTAGCAAGAGCAAAACTCAAAGTGGCCTAGACACATTGCAGGCCTGATTCCCCACGGGAGAACCTATCCGTGGGTGTGGGTCCTGTGCATCTCCGAGTGGGAGCCGGGCCCATGCCATGCAGAACGATCTCCTACAAGTAGTCCTTGAAAACCC